AAAGAAATAAAGATAAAATATAAAGAAAAATAAAATAAAGAATAAAATAAAGAATAATTTTTATAAATAATATTTAAAGAATAGTAGTTAAAGGTTATTTTATTAAAAAGTTGTTGGTTAAATAATTATTACAAGAAGCTTTTTATATATATAAAAAGAAGTAATTTTTTAGACTTCTAAGAACTATTAGAAGCTGTTCAAGAACTGTTAAGAACTATTCAAGAACTGTTCTTTTAAAAAAGCAAAGCTATTCTTTTTATAGCTCTTAATCTAAAAATTGATTGGTTTAGAGTCACCATGTATTGTAGCATCATTCTGAACTATATGAATGTTCAAAATGTAGCAGAAATTAAGAAATTCTATGTGCATTTTACCAATAATGCTTGTGCACAAATAATAAACCAATCCTGTATCTTTCTATTTTTACCAATGCTTGGCACTCTATTGTGTAACAACTTACATATTAACTAAAAATAAAACAAATATCATCGTATAGCCTATATATTTATCTACAAACTTTCTATAATCATTTAGTATTCAGAAGCCTCCTTGCTAATGTTTTCCTAAGCATAACTAAAAAATAACTATAGTAGTATATAGAAACTATATAGTAACACTATAGTAAATATTGTATTATAATTAATAAATATTAATTAACTATAATTAAATTAATTGTTCCATCATTTTAGAGTGTTATGAAGCATCTGAAGCATCTGAGGTATGATTTGAAGTCTTTGGTCAAAGCTCTTGTAATACCAAACAACTGCAGTTTTAGATATTTTAATAACTATTAGCTAAAATAAAATACTATAAGAAATCTACTAATAAAATAAATATTAACCTATTAAATAGGCAATTAAAACTAATAAAATAATCTAAATATATTAAGAAAAATATAAAATATAATATAGAGCTAAAAATAAATATATACTAATATAAAAAAAAAAGCAAATTCTATTACAATATGTTTATGCTACTGCTATTTCTTTTGACTTTGTTTTCTATTTATTTTGTATTAAAAATCTTCTTTTTTAAAATTGTTGTTTAGCATTTTAAGTATAGCTTCTTTTATTGTTTCTTATATTTTGTTTATTGTATTTGTATTATAGTTAGTTTTTTTTTTCTTTAAAAGAAAAATTTAAAAGATATAGTAACTTAGTAAAGTAAACAAGTTATTAATCTTTCAAGTAGCAGATTGTAAGTTTAAAACTTATTAATAATAAAAATTTAAATTTTTAACTGTTATAATAACTGTTTCTAACAATTAGAATAAGATAGCTGTAATTATAATTGCATTAGCATGACTATTAACCAGATTGCTAGAACCAAACTAGAAAAAATCTACTAAGCTATTTGAATTAGAAGTCTAAAGACAAATACAAAAATATACTAAAATACTAGAAAAATACTATAAAATAATACTGAAATTTAGATAAATTCTGCAAGAGCATAGCTCTGTTAAGGTTTGTAGAATAAGTAAATAAATTAACAAAGAGACTTCTGAATCTTACTGGCAAATAATAGGCTTTAAAATATGCAATAGTCTAAATACTAGTACTAAAAAAAATAAAGTTAAACCTAAATGATCCTTAATAAAAACAGCACAAAGTTATTTATCTTAAAGTAAAATAGTTAGAATTATATAAATACTAATTAAAAATATATTAAAAAGTTTAAATAAGATGTTTACAAGTAACAAATAACCTTAGAGCAAAATTCTTAAATAAACAATAACTAAAGTTATATATATAACTAACTGTATTTTTATAAATTATAAATATATTTAAGATTTTACTAATGTTAATTTAAAGATTTTCTTTTTTAACAGTAATAATAAAAGTTGTTTAACTATAATATAAAAACTATAAATTAACAGATTTAAACAATTAATAATATAATTTAATAAAATATATAGTGATTAGTGTTTTAATTAAAGACAACAATTAATAGTATATGAAAATACTAAAAATTATATTTATTTATTATCTATTGAAATATTATAAAGATATTTTTAATACTTGTGAAGTATATGAAAACATTTAACTTTTTAAAAGATTAAAAAGCAATGCTTTTATAGATATTTTACTTTTTTTTATTAAAGTGACCTTTTTGGTTTTTTGATTTTTATTAATAATTTTTTTAGTAATATGATTCTATAAACTATTACAAAAAAAGTATACAATTAGCTATATGTATAACTTTTTATATTACCTATTTAAAATGTGCACCTAAAGGTTTTTTATTAATTGCTATATCTAATATTTTTACTTAGATGTTCTATTTTAAACTTTCTGAACCTGCATCTGTATTAATATTATTAAGTTAAGCCCAAGTTATTATCTTAATCTTAGAACTATTTGATCCTTAAAATAAACTTTTTAAAGTTTTTTGCATCTATTTTTATAGCTGATCCAGTATTACTATAGCAGAACTAACACTTGTAGTCAAAATTATATTATTTAATCATTATGCTTTTGTAAAGTTTACTCAAACCTTAGCATTTATTTTACAGCATATTCCTAATACTTTAGTATATCTTTGTCTTTTTATTAGACTTTTAATTCAGATAGTCTGTATAAGACTATAACCAGTTTCAATATCCTTTTTCTTTAGTTCATTCTAGTGGTCTTATTAGTAGTACCTCTAAGACTTTTAACTCAGAGGCTCTTGTCTATTCAGATACTATGATCTTAATATCTGTTTTCTAGAACTAGCTTTTATAATAGTACTGTTAAAGATTTGTACTATCTTTTTATTTAAGTTTTTATAAATAAACTTCTTGTTTTTTAATTTTAATAAATTTATATAGCTACAAAAACTTATTTAGAATTTGCACTACCTAATGCCAGTTTGTATTCTTTTGTATAACATTATATTTATACAGATGTTTTATAATCTGCCAGTCATGCTAGTATAACTGCTATTACAGGTATCCTAACTCAATTATTAAAAACAGTTGTTGTAATACAAATATTATATAAATAATTATTTAAATTTTTACTGTTAATAAGATTTGAACATCTAATTTACCAATTAGAAGTTGGCAACTTATTTACTTTACTAAGTTATTACACTCTTTTTAAAAATATTTTATATATATAAATAATTATAATAAAAATAAACTATTTTAATAAAATATACTAAATATAGTAATACATAATAAGAAATATAAAAGATATAATAAATATATGTTATATATTATATATAAAAAATATTATATATATAATAGAAAGCTAAGAAATAATATATATAATATATTTAATAAATTTAATATATATATTATATATAGAAACAGAATTATAATAGGTTTAAAATTAATTTAAATTAAAATAAAATTATTAAGATTAATTTAAACCTATTTATATATTTAGTTAATAAAATATATTAAGTATTATGCAGCTTGTATCAAGAAATATTAAAACATATTAGTTTATTGAAGCTTTAAAATGTAGTATATAACTTGTTACAATATTAGTAGTTATATAATAAATAGTTAATATTATATATTGATTAATTAAAATTTTTAAATAGGTTTCAAAACAGTACTGTTATATTCTATAGTTTTTTGTAAAAAAATTTATAAAAAACTATATAACATATGCTATACAAAGAAATTTTTTAAATTCAGTAACTGCAAAGCCAATAATTTTAAATATTTTTTTAATAGAATTTAAGTAGATTTAATTTCTATGACCAGTATTCTTGATGGTAATTATTGTTAAATATGCTATATTTGTAATTATTTAATATGATATTTATAAGCTTAAGCTATAACTAATAAACAACTAATTAAAGTGATTATATTTTTTTTTAATATTTTTATTTGCTTTAGTGCTCTAATTATTTTTTAGACTAATAATGATTGTGAGTTTACTGCAGAGATAATTTATAAATTATTAACTATATAGTCTGATGTTCATATTATTAATAATTATTCAAGGCATTTACAAAGCCAAAGACTTGCAAAATATACAAATAATATTCTTTAATAAAAGATGTTCAATTAAAAGGTATTCAAGTAAATAGATAATACACAAAAAAAAGATTAGGCATGTGCTATGCCATTGTGTTGCTATATGTATTTAAATTACATTTTATTAATATTAATAACTTAATAATTACAATTTTTGATTTTAAATATTATAAATATATTAATATTATAGCAAACTAAAAATAGCCTATATTTATTAATATTTAGTCAAAACCTTTTACATTATATTTTATTATTAAAAAAAGTTAAAAAATAATATATTAATTATAAAAATAAATTATCTAATAATTGATTTGAATCTTCTAAACCTTAAGATATTTTTGATTAGCAAGAAATTATAGAATTGCTTTTAGAAGTTACAGCTTTAAATATAAAAATAACAATTTTTTTTATTAGTTCTATAATATCTAAACTAAACAGTCTAAATATTAGACTAGGTGCTATTGTCAAAAAAAATTAATTTTAGCATATTAATGCTAAAATTAATTTCTTTTAACACTAGTATTTAGTCTAATATTTGGACTATTTAGCATCTTTTTAAATATTAACATTAAAATTTTCACTTTTATATAATAGTATTTAAAAAATTTAAATTCATTTAAGTTAGAATTAATATTTATAATAAAGCTAGGTTTTAAAAAAATAATAGTAAAATTACTTAAGAAATTTTTTTTGTTAAAGTGCAAAAAGTAGTTTTTTATATAAGTTTTTGAAAAATAAGTAATTTTTGAAAAGCAAATATTTTGTTTTAATCTTTTTGATTATATAATATTACATTAAAATAAAACTCATTATTAAATAATTATTACATAAAAGTAAAAATTTGATAACAATCCTAAAGTAGTTTTGTTTAACTTGGATATCATGTAACTAACAAATTTTTGTAATATGACATTTACTTTTTTCTTATAAAATAATTGTTTTTTTTTTAATTTAAAATAAATTATTTTAGAAATAACAATTACTGGAACATATTAATAAGAAAATAAATAAAATAGTTAATAGAAAAATGAATATAGATAAAGAAATAAATAATGTAATAGATGTGAATAAAGAGGTAAATAAAGTAATAGATATAAATAAAGAGATATATAAAGTAGTATATGTAGATAAAGAGATAGATAAAGTAATATATGCAAATAAAAAGATAAATAAAATAGTGAATGTAAATAAAGTGGTAAATAAAATAGTAAATATAAATAAAAAAGTAAATAGAGTAATAGATGTGAATAAATAGATGCTTAAAGTGGTAAATGTAAATAAAAGAATAAGTAAAGTAGTGAATGAGAATAAAAAAATAGATAACATGATAAATGTAAATAAAGAAATAAATGAAGTAGTAAACAAAAGAATAACTAATGAAATATGTAAAATAGTATATAAATAGATAAATAAGACTGCAAATAAAATAGCAGTAGACTTAAGAATTAATAATAAAAAAATATATTAACAAATATAAACATTTAGTTTATTACTTTTTTTAGCAAATAACTTTTAATAAAGTTTTTATAAAATAAATTTTTAAGTTATCTAAAAATAAGATATTTGATAAAAGTTTATTTAAAGATAAAAGTTATTTAATTAAAGACATAAATTTTTAACTTTAACTACTAACACTAATGTAAATATTCAGATACTCAAAATATTTAATTTTTTAATAATAAATTTAATATTTATTTTATTTTTACAATCTTTTAAAATAGAAACAACAATTAAAAGTCAATATATAAAATCTATTAAGATGTAGCAATAAAGTCTTTTAAAAAATATCAAAGCTAAATAAAGTTGCAACTTAATAAATATAATAAAAACTTTATAAATAAATATAGCATTAGATATTTTGTTCAAATCAAAATTTCTGAAATTAACAAAACATATAGTAATCAAAAAACTCTCTCTTGCAAGATATTTGAAGTTTTAAAGACAATATACAAAATTAGATGCAAATTAGTTATTATTAGAGTTATTTATAATATTAATAAATTACTTTTTTTAGGTTCTAATATATTTTCAAATTAAATAATATTTTTTAATATTTATAAGTATTTAAAAAACATTTATTATGCAATTATTGTTATAATTAGGTAATTTTAAGTGTAATTGCAAAATGACTATGATAAAAATCACAGTAAATGTAAAAAAGTAAATATATTGTAATAAAATTTACTAAAAACTAGCAAGCTATAATAAACTTTAAATAGCACAAGTGCTAAGTAAAAGATTTTTTATTTAAAGAAAAATAATAAAATAAAATATAAAATATAAATATTTAAAAATATAATTTATAGTTAATAGTCTTTTAGATACTATAAAATATAACAATAGGAGATGTGGTAACTTAGTAAAGTAGATAAGTTGTCAATCTTCCAAGTGATAGGTAGTGAGTTCAAAACCTACCAATAGCAAAAATTTGGATAATCATCTATATAATATATAGACAGTATTATAGCAATAGCATTCTATTAATCAGTTGAGATAAGATATCTGTAACATGGTTGCACTAGCAAGACTGGCAGGTCATAGGGCATCTGCACAATGTTTGAATTATACAAAAAAATGCAAACTGACATTGGGCAGTGCAAACACAAGATAAGTCCTTGTGGTCCTATAAACTCATAAACTAGAAAGCCAGAGCCCATTTAAGAAAACCTGAGTAGAGAGGTAACATAAATCTTCAACAGTATTATTATAAAGACTAGACCTAGGAAACAGATACTAATGTAAAAGAAATTGGGCAGGCAAGAACCTCAGATAAGAGGTACCATCAACCAGACCATTAAAAGTCTCAAACTAGAGGAAAAAGACCTTAAAAGCAGACTCTGAGATACCAGAGAAAGGTTATAGTTTTTCCAGACTATCTGAATTGGAAGTCTGAGGTCAGAAACAAAGATATACTATAAGTACTAGAGATATGTTATAAAGTCAGTGCTGGGGTCTAGATGAACTCTGCAAGGACAAGCTCTGTTAATAAGGATTAAGTGTAGGTAATTAGTTAGCAAAGAGCCACTTTTCAGTCATACAGTTAAGTAATGTATTCTGAAATGTATAATAACTTGACAGATATATAGAAGTAGAGTCAAGGTTAGATTAGACAGCATCTAATATAGATGTATAGGAACTTGTATGCTATTTGTCAGTGTAGTATAAGAACCAAAATGTTTAAAATAGGTAATCTTTTAATAGATTGCAGGTATAGCAACTAGTGTAGAATCTGCTATGTAGATGAACTACTTAAATTAAACAACTAAAAGTTGTACAAATGGCTAGTTGTATACTCACCTTGTAAAAGTTATATAACTATAATTAAAAATACAATAAAGGCAGTAGCTACTAATAATTACAGTTTTAGCAAAAACAAAAAAAAAAATACAACAATAGAATTAGCTTTTTAACCAAATCCTAATATTCAATATGTATAGATTAGATATAACAAAATGTTTATCCTGTACAAGAATTATTAGACTTTTAGACTTAAAAATATTTATAAAGTATAATTAGAAAAAAAAAATCTTAATAATTAGACTGTTAACAGCTATACATAGTTTTTAAATTTTAATAATATAAAGCTAGTATTTGCCAAATAACTATTTAAAAAACTAGCTGAATCAAATATTTAACTCTCTTTATAGATCACTAAAACCAACTTTCTCAAACAAACAATTCAACTTTTCTTAATAATTTGCTAAATTAACAGCTTTTAAACTTCCAATAAACCTTTTTTTTACAACTTTCTGTTCTAAAAACAATATACATTTATTTATATTTAATCATTCAATATAAAAAACTTTTATATTTAAATAAAATTATATTTATTTATACACTTTTTAATTTTTGTCAATTTATATTTAATTATACTTTTTTACTTTCAATTAAACTAAATATACTAAACTTTCTGTTTCTAATTATATTAATTTTATCAAATTTAAACTACTATATTACATACAAACTAATATTTTCTAAAAAATACACCTTTTCAATTTTTATTAAATTTTACTAAATAAATTTATTTTCTTTTATTAAACAAAAATATTTAGTAGGGGTGTGGCAACCTAGTGAAGTGGTCAGGTTGTCAACCTCCTAAGTAGTAGGTTGGATGTTCAAATCCTATCAACAGTGAAAATTTGAATAATCACCTATGTAATATTCATATTATGGCAACTATTACTAACAATTAGGTTAGAATACCTGTAATAGCAGTCACACCAGCATAACTGGCAGGTTATGGGGCATCTGTGTAAGTATGACATTACATAGAAGAATGCAAACCAACAAATCAGACAATGCAAACACTAGATAAGTTCTTGTGGCTATGTAAATTCATTGAAATTGGGTAACAAGAAGTTTATTTGAAAAGATCTGAGTAGAGAGATAGCTAGATCTTCAACAGCCCTACTGTAAAGGCTAGCCTGAAAAAATGAATACCAAGGTTGTAGTACCTAGTCATAGTAGCCAGACAGGCAAGAACCTCCAGGTTGGGAGTCTTAGAAGTACTACCAACCAGGTTGCCAGAATGAACTAGAGAAAAAAGATATTGTGCTGACCCAATATACTGATAGATTTGTCATAGTTCTACACAGGCTATCTGGATTGGGAGTTTGGTAAAAAGGCAGATAAAAAGACAGAGGTATACTAAAGTACTGAGGTTATGCTATGAAGTAGATGCTGGGATCTAAGTGAACTCTATAAGGATATAGTAGTTTAATGATTAGCCCTAATTGCAAGTGTTAGTTCTGCCATAGTGATATCTAGGTTAGCTATAAAAATAGGTACAGAAGGCTCTGAAGGGTTTACCTTGAGGATAAATTAGTTCTAAGATTGAGATGATGATCTGGGCATCTGAGTATAACCCAGTGAGTTAATACAGGTTACAGATTCAGAAAGTTTAAAGTAGAACACCCAAGCAGAGATGTTAGATATGACAATTAGTAGGAAACCTTCGGGCAGACTCCTTAAATAGGTAATATAGAAAAGTTATATGTGTAGCCAATTGTACTTTCTCCTGTAGTGATTCATTAAACCATAAAACCAATAAGTGGTTAATAAAAGTCAAAAGACCAAAGAGATTCCTTAATATCAAAAAAAAAATATATATATTTAGCTTTTCAAAACAATTATTTTAATATATACTTCATTTTTGTCAAACTTAAGAGGAAAATAAAAACTTCGACCATTCTTCCCACATGACAAATGGAATATATTATAACACGGAGATAAAGTAAATATGAGGTATTCTTTATTTAGTGTTATATAAAATTTTTAAAGCCTAGCACAGGCAAAAATAGTGCCTTCATGTTTTCTTTTTTGTTTTTTCTTTGTTTCTTTTTTTTATCTTTTTCTTTTTCTTTGTTTTTGGTTTACGTTTACGTTTAGGTTTTGTAGTTAGTTACCCTCTTTTTTTTATCTTCTTTTTAGTTTTTCTTCCTTATTTTTTGTTGTTCTTTAGGCAAGGATTATGGAATCCTCTTGCTTGATAATTAAAAGAGAAGGAAAAACAGATCGAAGATGAAGCTAGGAAGACAATTTTGAGGCTTGTCATGAAAGGGAGAAGACTCTTTCATTAGGGACTTTAAGTAGTTAGACAAGCTATTTACTTCTGATTGAAGTAATGCGGCAGGTTGTACTTAGGCGCCATTAGGGTGGCCAGGTGATGCTAGACTTAGTTGTTAGGTACATTTATGTAATTGTAGTAGTAATTTCATAATCTTAATAAAGTACTAGCATGACTGCCTATATTAAAAAAAAAAAAAAAATATACTTCATTTTTAATAGACTAAAACTTATCAAGTTATCTATATTTTTCTCTAAACTCCTATTCAAACTTCTTTTTGAATTTTATTAATCAATTTTGAAAAATTTACTGGGTTGCCTTATAAATTTTACTTTTTACCAATTTTGAAAATATCCAAATACCTAATATTTTTTTAAATTTTTTTAAAAAAACCTGAAAAATTTACTGTTAATTTCAAAAAACTCAATTTTTTTTACTTAATTTTTATTCTTTTCACTTACTCCTTTTTGCTACTTATACTATAATCACTCTACTTTTACTATAAACTATTCAAAAAGTCTTTTTCATATCTTTGTTTCAAACTATTTACAACTTTAAATTTTTTTTTAATAATATTATTAAATATAATTCTAAAATAAATTCACAAATTACAACTTAACAAAACTATTTTTTAGACTGGTTCAAAAGCTATTCTATCTCAGAAAACTTTATCTTATCTATACTT